TCGTCAAGGGGTGGCTATTTGACTTTGAGGGTGGTGTTTAAGTGGTTATTTGTGATTATTTTTCATTTTTGAACAACCAGAGAATATTTATAAATAATTATAAAGCAGACAGGAGCTAACAAATATTTTATTTATCACTTAATTTTTTTGGGTAGTAATATACGTAAGGGGTGGTTTTAAGGGGTGGAACATGTTAAAAAAATTTTTTTTTCATATTGAATAATAGAATAATCGAATTTACCAAACATTATACATTTATAATAACGGCAAAAAACTTGGCCATTAAAGGGTTAACAGAGTGTTCTAATTAAATTAATTATTTTTCCTTCTCTAGATTAGTAATTCAATTTTTTTTGAAAAATTTTTGCTATGTGTTGGTATTTGTAAAATATTGATTTCAAACGTTGGTTCAGTGTTAGTAACCAAGAAATAACCAAGCATTAATTTAATTTTAAAGCATTGGTAAATAATTGGTCATTAATATTGGTCCAATCTTTGTTGCCAATATAATCAAGGCTTGGAAAGTCCGGCATTTGCCTTGACAGCCAATAGTGATCCAATATTGGGTGCCAATGCTTGGCAAAGTTGTGATCATCCCAAGACTCTGGCAATAATAGCTCAATATTGGTTGCCAATGTTTGACTAAGAAAAAACTGTTGGCAGCCAATATTGGTCCATTATTTAGCCAATGGTAAGCATTGGCAATTTCCCATTGGGAAGGTCACACAATTTTTATTAATATTCTGAAACAGAAAAACTATATTTGAGAAAAATCGACGGTGGCTGGAACAGAACTCGCGTACGCGAGGATAGTAATCTGGCGTGTTTCCCCTGAGCTGAGGAGGCGCATTAAATACCTCAGCATAAAATAAATCTAAAAGGCAAACAAGTCTTATTGGCTGTGATTGAGACTGGTGCGCACCAAGATTCTTTGACTACTATCGGCTCAAAAAGAACAGGCCCCTGACTTTGGCTACGCCGTTTCACTAAAACTATTTAAAAACATTATATTATGCATATTTAAAGGTTTCCTGCAGAAAAATCGATATTTTTGCTTCGAGGCATTTATACTATTGATGTTTCATTATCAATATATCGATATTTTGCAATATCCATGTTTTTTTTGTTAAATTCTAATAAATATTACTTGTTTTTTCATAATAATGAAGAATCCTAGTTTGTGTTTGTATTTATAATCTCATACAACAAGAATTTAATGAATTTTGAAAAAATATTCAATGTTTTGTATAGTTATTTGATGCCACCCCATTTTGCCCCACGGGTGGGGCAAAATGGGATTTTAGCACTTTCTCAGAAAATACGATATAAGTTCTTTCAAAAATTTTTTTCTCCGCTATTATCATAATTCCCTCAAAGCTAAGTGTACAAAGAAGAATTCTGAAGTTTAGCTGAATCGATTTATTCGTTTGGTTCTCTGTAAACAGACAATTTCAAAAAGGTACCCCATTTTGCCCCACTCTCCCCTACTATTTTCTCATTCTGTAAGGAGATTTATAATATCACAACAAAGTATTTTTCTTTTTTAAAGTAAATGAGCAGATCTTTAAACAAAAAAATGCTTTTTTAAATATATCGATTTCGTGAAGAAAAATTGGACTTTTTGTGGTAGAAATTGAAACGCCACTAATATCAAACTATTAAATATTGTTAGCTTTGATCCTTGAAAACTTATTTAAATATTTTAAAAAACATTTTTTTTGCTTACAGGTCTGTTCTTTCACTTTAAGAAAGAAAAATACTTTGTTGCGATATTATAAATCTCCTTACAGAATGAGAAAATAGTAGTCAAATTTTGACGCCTTTTTCGCATTTTTGCCGCTTCTGTCACTTGCACGCTGACGCCAATTCTGACGCCCTGCCGCTCAAGTGGTTAAGACAAAGTGTAATACGTAGCTTAATTATCTAGTCGTTCTTATACAAAATTTCATAACCCAAAAAAATTATTTGTTTAAGTTATAGATTTTTAATTGAAAAAAATACGTGGTTTTTTTCATGATTTTGGGAATAGCCTACTTTGAAAGCATGTAGCTGATTTCAAGAATATCCAATCAACATACTGATTTTTTTCTATAATATTTGTATCATTGTTAAATATATAGTGGAGAATTTTTTTAATTTCTTTAATAACTTTCGGAGATTATTTAAATCAAAAATAAAAAGTTATATCTCTTGCGATCAGAAGCACAGATTTGAAATAAAATGCAAATTATGCATAAGTTTTTTCTTAGATAAAAACAATTTGAAAAAACTTGTAAAAAAATTTTGTTGAATAATTATTTATGAAAATGTTTTTTGTTTTTTGCTTTATTACCCCATTAAAGCAAGGTGCAGTCGGACATGAAACCCTTTTATCAACAGTAGAGAATTCTATAACAGTAGTAAACTACCGCACTTTTTTTATATAATGCTTCTATTCTTATTAGTTATTTACAGTTACAAACATACAGACTCATTTATACCTGAGCGCTGATAGAAAAAATGGGTTTCCCAAGATTTTAGACCTTTGCGCCTTTGCAAAATAGATTTACGATAGCCTGCACCTTGCTTTAATGGTGTAATAAAGCATAAAATGAAAAACATTTTTATAAATAAATGTTAAACAAAATTTTTTTACAAGTTTTTTCAAATTGTTTCTGTCTAAGGAGAAACTTTTACATAATTTGCATTTTATTTCAAAGCTGTGCTTCTGCTCGCAAGAGAGATAACTTTTTATTTTTGATTTAAATAATCTCCGAATGTTAATTAAAAAATTTTAAAAATTCTTCACTATATATTTAAGAAAGATACAAATATTACTGAAAAAAATCAGTATGTCGATTGGATATTTTTTAAATGAGCTACATGCTTTCAAAGTAGCCTATTCTCAAAAACATGCAAAAAACCATGTATTTTTTTCAATTAAAAATCCATAACTTAAACAAAAATTTTTTTTGAGTTATGGAATTTTGTATACAAACAACTAGATAAGTAAGCTACGTATTTGACTTTGTCTTAACTCTCTACGATTTTTTTTACCTGCGTTGTGAGCTTTCAAAGTCAGGGGCCAGTTCTTTTTGGGCCAATAGTAGTTCCCGACTTTTTCAGACACAGTTGCGGCTAGTGCCATGAACTTTACATGAGAAAGTAATGAGAAAAAAACGATTAGATCAGTTAAAGTTTTTTCTAATACAGACAATATGTTTTCAAAATACATGTGACCTAGTCTATGAAAAGAGACTTTACGTGTCAAAATCACCTACGAATTCTTTTCACCGAAAATTTTAACACTCCCTAGGGGTAAAGGAGTGCTAGGGAGTGAAGGAAGGGACGAATTTAATTTTGGTGGTCATTTTCGATTTCAGCGACCCAAAAAACATAGAAATAGACATACAGTACCGTCCGAAATTGTCAGTCCACCCATTTTTAAAGGAATGAAAAAAATTTTTTAACATAAAATTCATGAAAACTAAAATTTTTTTTGGTTTATACTTTGAAAGACGATAAAATTTTGAAAAGAATAAGACCTCACAGAAGTCATTTGGCAAATATTTTTTCAAGATATTCTTAAAAAATCGTCATTTTCAATGTTTTACAAAAATTTGAATAACTTCTAAAATAATGAACGCTTTTTAATAATCTTAGGCTTATTTTAAAGGTCATTTTCTACGGAATAAGAATTACTTATAGGCATTAACCTGTAATTTTTTACTTGGAATAAGCATGACGTCAAAGTTGGACAAAAAAATTCAAAAAATTTGAAATAATATTATTAAAAGAAAAATATTTTTTGAAATTCAAACATATTTTTTTATTAAATTTTCTTGAAGAATCTACATCACATCATGTTTTATATATGTTCTAGAATAGCTTTTAGTACAAAAAATTTATTTGAAATTTTTTGAATTTTTTTGTCTAACTTTGACGTCATGCTTATTTCAAGAAAAAAATTACAGGTTAATGCCTATAAGCGATTCTTATTCCTTAGAAAATGACCTTTAAAACAAGCCTAAGATTATTAAAAAGCTCTGCGTCGTAGAGCGAAAGCTAAAAACAAAAAAAAAATTTTTTATAAAATATTATTTTCATGATCAGACGAATAAAATGACAAAATATACATCTTGGACTATTATTAAAAAGCGTTCATTATTTTAAAAGTTATTCAAATTTTTGTAAAACATTGAAAATGACGATTTTTTAAGAATATCTTGAAAAAATATTTGCCAAATGACTTCTGTGAGGTCTTATTCTTTTCAAGATTTTATCGTCTTTCAAAGTATAAACCAAAAAAAATTTGAGTTTTCATAAATTTTATGTTAAAAAATTTTTTTCATTCCTTAAAAAATGGGTGGACTGACAATTTTGGCCGGTACTGTATCAGGTATGTAACCCCTTCCATGTGTGGTTAAAATATTATAAACTGGGCCAATAAAGTGTAAGACCTTTCCATTTATTAGATCTATTGAAACTTATTACACTGCTTGTTTTGCTAAAATAACATTACTAAGTGAAAAAGTGTTGCATATCGTTTTAACACCTTTTGTGCTATAATAACACATGTTTTCCTGTGTAATAGTTATCAGCAACGCAACGTTTTGAACGCGAATGCAAGCAGAGTAACTTTGATGATTTTCAGTTCGTATTAATTAACTCTTGTTTGGCAGTACAAACAGTTCTACTATTTCGCACTTGGGATTTTGTTGTACTGTAAATAGAAGTTTAAATTGTAATTAATATGAAGAATCTGAAAGCCTAATTATGTGATTCAGCTTTACTACATTAACTGAATATTTCGCCAGTACGGGAAAAGTGAACTTAGATTAAGTCTGATTGGTAAAGAATTATAGAAATATTTGGAAGTTAACCATTATTAACCGTTTTTTAAGAAATATCTTGTGATTGATAAGTGCGACACAGAGACAGGTATATTTAGTTTTTAAGCAATTATAGATATTATTCAGATATGTTGTGAAATCTTTTAATACTTAACATAATAATTTTAGGCCAGAAAAACCACTTTTAGAAAGGAGACAGTCACTTGAAGAACCAGAAGAGAGGAAAAGACAGCTAGCCGCTCGTTTAGCTCTAGGTCTTGAGCCAATTAAGCGAAAACCAGAAGAGATACCAATTCCGCCTGCAGAAGCTTATGTTGTGACACCACATCGTAAACGAAGGCCAGGTTTCCATAATGCTCCTGCACAGAATCCGGCATTTGTACCTTTTAATCCCGGTTTTGAAACACCGCGGAGGTTACAAGCTCCACATCCACTTAGTATATCTGCTCCTCCGTATTTGGTAAATCAAATTTCAGTTTTAACAAATATTATATTTACTTTTTAAGATTATTAATTTGTCGCTTTTTCTTTCATTGAAAACTTATTAATTCAATTTATATAATACACACATTCTCTGAGAAAATAGAAAATTTTGTTTAAAAATATACTTGAACATGGACAAGTCATTTCATTGTTCCGTTTTCCGCATCTGGTCACGTAAAAGAGTACATGTACATGAAAATACACTTTATATTGCACCTAATCTTGTACATGGATATTCAACTGAATAATGCTTATTTCCCATGTTATCAGGGACTCAATTTCATTGTAGTATAATTTTCTAGTTTTCAAAACTAGCCTAAAATCTTTCTTATCTTTACGTTTACAACCGCCAAAATTTGATATATTACAGCAAAGTACGTACGAGATACAAATATGAATATGTAATGCAGAGAAACTCACGGATAAATTGTGCCTTAAGGAGCATTCAGACCTCTGCAGACTGCCTGCCTGCGCAGGTAGAAGATCGTTCACATCTCACTTTTCCCGTTGAAAAATGAGGGAAGATTTGAATTTTAATAGATATTTGAATCTTCCCTCATTTTTTAACGAAAAAAGTGAGGTGTGAACGATCTTCTGCCTGCGCAGGCAGGCAGTCTGCAGAGGTCTGAATGCTCCTTTAAGATAGAACCACTAGTCTAAATTCCCTACATTTCTCACTATTACCAACTGATAAGTCCATCACCAGCTGCGCGGTAGCGATTTATCTTCATAGCGTTGAAAATTTTCGGCAAACATAGACGCGTCGAAAATTCAGTCTTAAAATTATAAAAGTGTCATTTTGTTTTTTGAAGATGTATTTAATTTAAAAGAAGTGTAGAGTCAGACTAGATTTTGTGATACATTATTGTGTAAATTATAGAAAGATACAAGCAAGATGAGTGATAAATCGGATAAACAAGTTCTGGACGAGACGGAGGATACCTCCTAGCGCCACGTTGATGCATTGGAGAGTTCAGATGATGACAGTGAGAGTGTGCATTCGAATAAAAAATCAGTGAGAGAAGCAGGCGCTTGTTCGACTTATACGAAAATGGCGGTCGTTTTCTCCCTTCGGCAAAAATAACGCATGGGATTAGCGGTTATGTTTGCACATGGGAGAAAATAGACGCCATTTTTATATGGTCGAACAAATGAGTGACTTTACTCCCTGTCGTCAGCTATCTAAAAGCGCCATTTTTGTGCATGTGGGATAAAAAGTTAATTATTTACACAGTTTATTGAGTCAGCCTTAGACATTTAATGATAAGCCTACTAGTTCTAGGTCTGTTTTAGATCTCGGTGGATTCAGAACCGACATCGATGAAAAGAAATTTGTACGTCCGGTCGACAAAGAAAAGCTACCGATTTTGAACAAATTACAAAGATTTAATTCCCAGGAGTTGAAAGAAGTTAGATATTCTAACGCAACCGACAGATTAGCTCGGTCGGATAAATGCCTCGCTCGGCGGACGTTGTACGACCAAGGGTACTTGGTTCGCGCCCATTAGCCTGGAATTTTTCCGGTACGTGAGATAATCTGAGCGGGAGGTTTGACGTCGAGGTATAATGATGTGCACTGTCGATTATTGTCTGGTACACACCATCAGAACTCGACTGTCGATAAACCGGCTGTACTCGGAGAGGTTTTCTAAAGTTTCCCTCTCCACTGTCGAGAAAACCCGTTATACGGGTGGTCCAGACAAATGCGAGTACTCCTAATTTTCAAGTCGTTCTGTAGACGCGAAAATTAGTATTAAGTTTGATAGAAAAAATTTGTATAAGAAATTACGAAATGTAAAAACACTTGTATAGCCAAGTATGTAAGGCTGAAGACGGGTGTATAAACAAATAAGTAAATAGATATTCTAACGCATTAAAACATTTTGCATTTAATTTCTTCCGAACGTGTTATGGCAGGCTTAACAATTCTGGATCAAAGATGAGACCGGTTAATTTAATTAAAAATATTATTCTTAATAAATAGCATCAAACCGTTCGTTGATTCACTGTACTTAATTATTTATCAGCTTCCGAGAAACAAACAACCACCAACAGAAACAACTCTCGAGAGTGAGGAAATTCCCGCCAAGACCAACGTTGATGCTTCAACGTTAATATTCCCTGTGGAAGAGGTTCGAGTAACTTCAAGACAACACCGTAATAAAACAACACAATTACTAACACCTTTGCTTTATAATCCACTAGAGAATTTGCACAACAACTTATCCCGTCAAAACGAACAATCTCTTATACACGCCGGTAAACGAATGAATGATATCACGCCGGTTCTCTGTCCTCGTCTAGTTACCTGGAAATCACTATGCGTTCATCCCGCTCGCTCTTGTCACCAGAAAACCTGAAAAGAAAACTCCATCTCTCGCCGCTAGTTATCGTGATAATTCATCATCACACCTTAGACTCTCCACAAAGTGACCCGCAATAGATTTAGTTTTCCCTGAAGGACTTATGAGACTATGACTGACAACCAAACCAAAATAACCAATGAAGATAACCTCTAATATTTCAGTAACAAAACACCTTGTTACAAAGAGAAATACTACAATTTAATTAAGAAGGTATAGTTCAGTATATTCAGGAGAACAAGCGTGTTGTTGATCTTGGTGAAATATTCGAAATTATTAATCTTAATTTCGATTCAGGTGACGAGTATTTATTTGATAAAAAGAATTTGAATTCTCTTGTCCAATCCCTAGGTGGGACACAATCATGGTTGAACACTCCAGCGTTTGCCTGGAGAAGAGATCACGAACAAGGGAGATTTAACCGAATATTTCAATTTCCATCAAAATCAACGCAGCGTTTTAGAAATAATACAGACTTGTGACCAAAAAATACTTTCAGATTCAGAAATAAAAAAAGGAGAACATTCAAAAGTTACAACTCAGCAGCCCTTTTAAAGGAGATCAGAAAAATGACTATATGAGTCCAAAAACTTTTACGGGAGGACAATTAATCAAATTTCAGGATAGATGGATAAAACTGGGAGCTATTCTCACAGTTTTAATGATCATCTCCGGTTGCCACATTCCATTCAATTCACGTCCATCACTAACAACAAATTGGACTTTGCCAAGATTCACGACACAGTCATTCACAGAAATGTCAAATCAAATGAATCAATTATTAGATCAGAAGATATTGGAAATTCCAGAGAATCCGTCTCCTAGTTTTATTTTCAAAATTCAAATTGTAAACAAGAAAGGAGGAGGAGACAGATTTTGGATTGCAGAAATGTCAACAAATTTGTAAAAACAAAGAAATTTCGACTAATCTCGCAATTTAAAATTCCAGATTGCCTCTAAGACGAAGATTCGCTATTGAAGTTCGATTTGGTTCATATTATTTACTAATGTTTACTATTGTTTAAACAAAATAATTTACAATTACCTGTATTTTATAATTACTAGAGTCAACTACAGTCAATTGTTCGTTATTGTTTCCGTTTATAGGAGTGAAGTCATAATGAAGAAAACATCTTTTCATAAAATTGGAAGTTTGTTTTATTGGTTAAATATTATAAATGTACAAGCGCACAATTGTTATAATTTTTAAAGTTAAAATTTTTTAAATTTAATTGTTATTTATTTAATTGAAAATTTACAACAATTTCCGAATTTATCTTAAAAAATCATTCAGCTTGTAATTCAGGATCGTTAAGAAGCAGCTCTGTTGATTCCGGCATCAAAGTTTTCTCCTTACTGGAAATTTGCTACTTAAACTATGTATAAATAAGGAGCAGCTGATATTAGCAAAAAGTGAGGTAAATCTTCATAAATTAAAAATTGTTTATTATTAAAAATTATAAAAATTGTGCACTTGTACATTTATAATATTTAAACAATAAACCAAACTTCCGTTTTTATGAAAAGATATATATATTTTCTTTATTATGACTTCACTCCAATGAACGGACAGAAAAACGAACAATTGACTCTTGTAATTATAAAAGACAGGTAATTAATAAATAATTAATTTTGTTTAAACAATAAATTCTGTGGAAGAAAGGCATAACAGCATAACTGACATTTTTATCAAATTTGAGATAACATCAGATTTGTATATATTTAATATTGCTCTTCAAAGTTCAATAGCTGAAAAATCATTAAAATGGTTATTAATGTAGAAAATAATGGAAAACATAATCGCATAATTGCGTTTTTGACAAAAGGAGACCAGCATAACAACATAACTGCATTCAGCTTAAAAAACAATTGACATAATTAAAAATGAAAATAACCTTTATGAATAAAAACAATAAGAATGTTGCAATAAAATTAATGTTTTTAGTAAAATACATTTTTGTACTTTAGATTAAATATATTTATTTTAATAAGACTGGAACAAATTTTTTATAGCATAAATTGTGCATTTAATTATGTACTTATTTTTAAGGGTATTTCTATTCTAAAAAATTTTGGAAAGTATTTAAAAAAATAAATTGAAAAATTCTTCAAGTTGAACAGTAAAGTAAATTTTTTTCTCGTTTTAATAAATTAAAAACATTTTATAAAAAAATAAATTTTATAACTAAATAAACTCTTATAATTTTTTCTAACGAATTAATAGTTTAATTTGTCTTTGTATGAAAAATTTTTTTATTATGACAAATCAAACCAAAATAAATTGTGACATTAAAAGTGTCTGAAGTTGGACTCATATACAATCTGAACTTGCATAACCGCATAAGTGCAATAAAACTCATGATTCCGATGAGAAATTATCAAAATTTATATCAAATCGTGTGTTTTATTAAATTTTATAAAAGAATTTTGAAAATATATTAAATAATAATACTAAATGCAAAAGACCGAACAAATCTGTTGATTTTCTGAATTGACAGAAGTGAGAGAACATTAAAATTAATTTATCTCAAAATCATGACAAATGCAGTTATGCTGTTATGCCTTTCTTCCACAGAATTAGTCATCTTACAGGTTATGACAATAAAATGTATTT